GGAGGCTTGATGCCTACCTGGCTGGAGTCATTTGAGCCCAGTTTTTCTCCTGCCCAGGTAGGGGGTTGGACTTGAAGATCTACAAGGTCCCTTCCGACCTGACTTCTATGAACCTCAAGTGCTACTCAAGGAAATTTCTTTAAGAAGTCAAGCCCTCCTGCTTGTAGTTAGTGCATCTAAAAAAATCTACAAGGACAAACACATTATACCTCCCTCCCAATGGAAGAGCCAGCCAGTCTTTTAATTCAATGTTCTAGCTGCCACAATGGGGATGTGAACAATCCCTCCCACCCTGTCTATCATCTTACATTTCAGTCCCTCCCACCTGAGATATGGCATTTTGAAGGGACTCCACCATTCAGGAATTAGCCATTTAAAGAGCCCCAAAGCAACCTTTCTTTTGCCATAGAAGCCCATGAGCACCTCACTGTGGTAGGCCATTCTATCTGCCAGCATGGAAAACCCAAGCCAAAGCTACAATAACTAACCCACCTAAAGAACACCTCGCACTGTGAGTTTTACTAGGTTTGAGGAGCCAGCCAACCTCCCAGTTTCCTGCCAGGCACCCACTACCCAGATACTTAGAAAAGGGGGCAAGCAGGTATTTATTTGCAAGAACCCTAGTTGCTGGAACCCTTTACTCCTACCCACATGTCCCTGTTCCCCACACTGGCTGATTACAACACCAACAGCCTGATGAGGCCACTCACATGGCAGAGAAATCCGGTCTTTCAGTGGCGTTTTTGGAAGAATCACCACCAAGCTATAGACCTGTTGAGGGAGAAAGAGAACTTAGTCTCTGCCCTGTGCATGATAGGATTTAATAGTGCAAGTTTCAAAGGAATGGGGTGGTGGGTGGATGAGTCTAAAGCCACAGACAGTAGTTGTGGGTATTCGACAGTTCATTATGCTACAAGCTCTTCCCTTTGCACGTTGAGAAGTTGGAAAGGCATGGAAGGCCCCAGGCAGAGCTTGAATTCAGCTGTCAGGACCTGGTCCACTCTTAGCCTAATCTCTCTTTAATCTTCATGGCTCTCTGCCCTATCACAAACACCAGCTCCCAGGAGCTCCAGTTCTAGCATTGGACCTGGAAGTCACAGACTAAGCAGGTATATGTAAGGAGCCAGGGGCTATCCATCTCATTTAAAAGATAAGGGAGGTAAGCGGAAATATCAAGGTACAGCTGCCAAAGAGAAGATACTGACCCAAACTATCCTTCCGTTTGGCTAGGGTGGGAGGTACGAGCCATGTACTCACCAGAAAGAAGAAACAGGAGCTGGCGAGCCAGAAGTGTCTCCCTCCATGGCCATAGATGTTGAAGTCTTCTGCAGAGAGGTGGGAATCAGGGTACAGGATTTCCAGAGTCCCCTGAGGGAGAAAAGGCACTCAGCACTTTGGCTTTCACAGAACCCATCATCCCTCCACTGACAGAGGATATCTGCATTCACAGAAGCTCAGATAACTGCTGACCTTGCCACTCCACTCAACTCCACCTCTTGCACTGCTCAGATGTGCTCTTTAGCCAACCTGGACTCAACTAAAAGAAGAGTAGGTAAAATATAGGCAAGAAACCAAGGAACCCCAGGATTTCAACAGGGCAGGATAGGGTGTCCATTTATGAACAGATGAGCGCCTGGCCAAATGCAAAGTGCAGTTGCAGGCTTTTGCAATGGAAGAATTTTTCTCTAGGGCAGAGGGATCAGCAGCACCTTTTGGCTTTGGAAAAAAGTCCCCACCTCATCATGACCTCCTAGAAGACAAAATGACGGGAAGGCAGGAGACCAGATTGCAGGGACCACTAAAATGGCAAGTACTCCATTCCTGCCTCCAGAACTGACACTTCCCACTGCACTGTCCAAGCTAAAAACTCCCGCCCGTGTACATAGCTGGGAAAGGAAACCCAGTCTCACGTACTCAGATCCCACTGGAAGACAGCTACGGCTGTACACAGACAAAGGTGTGGCACTCCCTGGACAGTTACTAAATCCAGATATAGCTTAGCCACTTGATATTTAATGAAGCTCTTGCAGTGTATCATGTAGCAGTGATCAGCTCTGTTGCCTCTGAGAGAGAGCCTGAACACTGAACAATTGTCTCCCTGTTACCCCAGCGCTGCCCCAGACAAAAACCATTCCAAAGGGCTGGCTACCGCCACTGGTGAAGAGAAGAACAGGCCCAGACACACACTGCATTGTTCAGAGAGAGACACACAGCTAATATTCTGAGCTCGCAAACTAGCTAGGAACAGCTCTCAGCTCAACAAGAGACAGGAGAGGAGAGGCTGCAAGGGTCCTGATGGGCAGCCCTGCTTCTCCATCATGTGTGGATTTGGAACTTTTTCCCTAGATGCAAGAGACTCCTATTTCCCAGTCCCCTCAATGAGTCAGCCCCCAACAACTTCATATTTTATTTCCTGTCCTCCACTGTGCCAGCCTGGAGTGTGGAACCAATCAGATGTCCTAGAGGCAAAAGGTTCTTGCTACATCACCATTCTCGAGACATTCTGCATCCCACCAAACACTTGTGGGATGGAGCTTAGTCTAAGCTAGGGGTGGCCAACCTGTGGCATAGGTACCGTAAGTGGCACGTGGCAGAACAGGGAGGGGACAGGCAGCACGGCAGCAAATTGGTCAGGAAGCAGAAAGCACAGCAGCACCTTGGGAAGGGATCACAGGGAAGGAAGCAGAGCAGCACATAAAGCAAGCACTGTTTCACTCCAAGACGTGGCCTTTTCCTTTGTCTGCCCCAACATGCTCACCTGGGTGACAGAGTAGGCCAGAGACAGCACCGTGGTGATGGCCAAGACACGTTTAATACTGGACTTGCTCTCAAGATGACCTGAAAGGAGCAAGGAAAGATCATTCCCCAAGTCATTCCAGTCCTAGTAAGATTGAGCACCCAAGAGCCTGCTAGGACACCAAAAACTGTCTGTCATCCCCCTAAGACCACAAGAGGTTACAGCTCACCACCCCAGGAAGCCATACTGCCACCCAGACTGCTTAGCCTCCCTCAGACAAAGGACCCAGAGCATGACGGTAACAGGGCATGAGGCTCTGGCTCTGCTTCATCCCCATCCCCTACACTAGGAAAGCACCTGGGCCCTCCCACCACAGTTACAAAATCTGGAGCAAGCTACAGCCTGGCCAGTGAAAAGCTACTAGAAGAATCTCCCCTTAATCAACTCCAAAGCAACTTCATCTGCTCCAGGCTCTGAGCCCCCAGGTGATGGAGACCCACTGCTCAGTTGCTGCAGCAAGGGGCATCACAGATGCTCCTACAGATACACAGACAACCTTGGAGAGTACCCACACTGAGCAGCTGGAACTGAGCCACCAACAGGCACCAGAGAAGGCTTTGTTCAGCCCCTGCTGTCAAGAGGAAAGCACCAAGAGGAAGCAAGGTAAAAAGGTCCCCGGAGGAATCCTCCTCCCACAGGAAGTGGGGCTCAAGCAGCCTCCCCTCCCACTTCAGCATCACCAGGTGTGTGTAGGTGAATCCTGTGTTGGTGCCTGGAGTCCTATGTGACTCATGCAGTACCTAGTAAACCACACGCATGTTAGGCCCCAGGCCATTTCCCTATGAGTCTCACACATGGTCTGACTAGTCTCCTATCCAACAGGACTGACCCTCACCCCTCCCCAGCTCTTGGCCAGGGTGTGCACACAGCCTCTGTGGAAGGGAAGAGGCCTGTCTGGGGCCTTGGGAGCAGGAAGCCACCTGGCACCTACCGAAGGCAAGGCCTAGGATCACCACACTCAGCTCAATGGCCAGAAGGAAGAAGCGCGTGATCTCCCACAGGATCTGCAAAGCAACAGGAACCAGGCAGGCAGGCAGGGTCAGGAGGAACAGAGACACAGGGAAGTTTATACAGCAAAACTCTTCCCATTTCCTTTATGAAAGGAAATTCCACTCCCCCGGGGGAGAACACCATTCCCAGGGGCCTTCCTTGTCTGTATACCCTTTGCCTTGAGGCGCAGCACTCTAGACCCTCCCCACACCCAGCACTTAAGATGAAGCAAGCAGCCATGGTTCAGCACAGCTGAAGCCATTCCCCCTGGTGGCAGGGGTGGGACTTCTGCTGCACAGCCAACCCAGGCAGCTTGCATCTTCATCAGCTCAAAAGTTAGGAATAAAGGGCTTATTCTGTGGCCAATTTATTGCTAGGGAAACAGCAGCACCCTGCTTTCTCCTAGTGCCGCTGCTCAGAGCAGAATGACTATATAACCCTCCCTCATCATGGCAGATAATGCTTATTTCTTCATGTTACGCATGGGGAAGCCAGAGCACAGGGAGATGAAGTAACAACCCTCCCCTCCCCACCCCCTGCAGTGTTACACAAGGGGGTAATGGAATAACTATATCCAGGAGACCCAATGAGCAAACTCCTGCTCTAACCCTTGACCCATACTGCCTCCCTCAGAATATGCCAAGTCCTTTAAAAAAAATACTGCAATATTTAGGGAAACACGATAACAAGTCCTCCAAAATCAGGCTGTTACAATATTTAGGGAAACAAGGTAACAAGTCCTCCAAAATCAGGCTGTTATATGCCCAGGCATAAAGCTATCCCTCCACAGCATGTTATTTGCTATGAACAGAAACTAGTTTGGAAGAGCAGTTCCCATTTTTTTTTTAAAAAGTGCAGTCTAACAGCCTATTTTCACTTTCAAAAGCTCCATGATAGACACCCCCCCACCAGGAAACAAGCTGAAAAGGATATCTGCTTTGTTTCAGGACTTCTAAGCAAAGGATACCACACAGAAGGGAGAGCTAGAGAGAGGCACAGTTTCTCTCAAAACATTTCATTCCTTATTTACCATATTTACTAGAATAGATGACCATGATTATAAAACAACCTCCCAATAATTAATCTGATATATGGAAAATGTATAAATTTGTTTAAATTCTCCAGGAGTGCAGATTGTAGCCGTGTTGGTCTAAGGACACAGGCAGACAAGGTCCTTTAGGTAAATCCAATATCTTTTATTAGACCAACTCAAATAGCTGGAAAAATTCTTCTTAGCAAGCTTTCAGGCACAAACACCCTTTCTCAGGCTGGCAAAGGGTGTCTGTGCCCGAAAGCTTGCCAAGTCAAATTTTTCCAACTATTTGAGTTGATCTAATAAAAGATATCGGATTTATCCAAAGAACCTGGTTTGCTTACAATTTTCCAGGTATAGAATATCATTATTCGAAATTTGCTTTGAATTTGTCCCCCTCCCACTGCTACAGCAGGGAAAAAAAATCTGGGGAACCATATAGCCCCTTTGCTTTGTTTTCCCTCAACTTTTTCCCCTGGCAGCCCCTTCCCCCTCTCCTTAACTTTCCCTGAGCACATGGAAATGAGAAGCAAATCTGAAGAGTGTCCTTGATATTAAACATGGGCGCAGCATTTTGCATATAACACCCATACACTCAGTTCACCTAGAATTGCTGCATGTTACCTTTTTTCTTTCTTTTAAAACTGCTGCAAGTCCATACATACATTTTTGAGCAGTACTTTGGCACCTACTTATATGTAGTACAAGCTATACACGTCCTTAACCCAAAATCAAAGACTCATGATTAACCATACTGTTCACTGGGCTCAGCCCCAGCAAAGTCAACAGCATTTTAAGCCATGGTGCCCCCATAGCTTGGCAGCCCTCAGTATCTGTGTGTACTCCAGATACTTCCCACAAAGGATCCATGTGCTAATTAGGCCCCACTCATGGCTGCAAGTGGGTGTTCTTGTCATGAGTCCTGGGATGCTCCAAAAATGTATATGCAGATAAGGGTCAGGGCAACCTGGTCTGGCTTCACCTCATAAAGGGCAGGACCACACTAATCATATGTGCCAAGCTAGGGGAGCAGGGGAAGGGGCAGATGAATTCTAGATGAATTGTTTGGGGCCCTATTTGGTGATGTTTGTCAGGCATCTAAGACTGGTGAAGAAACAGGAATCATTAGAAATGAGAGACAAAGGCAGAGTTCAGCTGTGGAACTGAAGAAGAGGTCAAAATGTCATGCAATGTAGTGACTCACCATGACTTGAAAAAGACTTGGTGCTGAGGGAGAAATGTGCTTAATGGGCACTACCACATTTTATTCAGATGAGCTGCACCATTCTATCCTTGTAGGTTCCCATCAGTGGGCATGTAAAACCATGGCTGTGTGGTGTGATTTTGTAATGGGAATGAGGATGATGTAACCCTAAAAGGTATGTTTTTGGACTATCAAGTGAGCCACAGCGGCATAGGTATATATACATGTTTATACTTAAATTTATAGAAATAAATATTTTTGCAACAACAACAAAAATATAAATCAGCATGTTTGTCCACCATGAGGCATGTGTTTTCTAGTCATGCTCAGTGTTGGCTGCATTTAATTAACTTCATAGCTGGTTCCCATTCCTGAACACATGCTGCTTTTGGCATCAGTTTAATGATAGCCTATGTATTTAAGGCAGTTTCCTTGTATGCAAGTGTAAGCTAAGGGGCCTTTTTTTCCTCCTGCTGATTAGAGAGAAAAACCTTGTCTTGTATTTGGGTAAATACAGTAACCTGCAGATTTAAAGCCGCGCAATGAAAGTGAAGGTAAACAGGGTCCCAAAGAGTAGTGCACTGAGGAGCTATGACAGCCATGACAAAAAACTGGAGAGAAAAGGTATGCAGGAAAGACTCTCATGCCTCCTCCTGAGGTTCATTTAGCTAAGGAGACTACAGCACAGGTGTTGCCAGGGGCTAACAAACTGAGGGGAGGTGCATCTTGGCATTCAAGACACGTCTTGGCAATCAAACACGAACCACATCCACTCCTGCCTCTCATGATGGAGATTTTGCTACAGCATGCCTGGGGAAGCAGGGAAGTTCACTGTTCTGCGGCTCTGGGTGCTGGAATCATTTAAAAAGAGTTGTCAAAGCAGCATTCCACAGTACTCAATAGCCGTGAGCATTGCAGATAAAACATCATGAGGAAGCTACTATTCATCTTTCAAGCCAGACCTGAACAATGACTCCGGAAGGACACTCACCTTATCGGCCACTGTAGCAGTATCAGAGGCGCTGACTGTCATAGAGACAACAGCCCGTGCAATCCCAACCAATGCCACCACAAAGACCTAAGAAAAGACAGCCAGAGTGAGCTGGTACCAGTGTGTTGCATGGTGACCATCAGGAATTTTACTCCAGTGACCCTTTTCCCTGGCTGGAAGCCCAGCTGATGGAGTTCAAGACTTCCAAGCTGGTGACTCAAGCCAGACCCCTGGTGATGGCCTCCCAGATCCCAAGCCTAACTGCAGGATGACTACAGTATAGGCAGCAGACTCTGGCCCCAGTAGAAAGTAAACATCCAACTTTCTAGCCCATCAAAGCAACTGTGAAGGAAGCCTCATTGAGTCTTTCTACTCAGTGCCCTTGTGGGCATTATATGGAATGGGGAGATGTTCACACAGGGCAGAGAAGCTAATCTCCTTCTCCCTTCTGCCACTTCAGTCAAAAAAATGTCAAACCAACAACAACAACAAAAATACTACTTCAGATTATGATGGCCTGGGCTGCCTCAGGACATAGATCTCTCCCAGATCGCTGATCCACCAGATCAGCCAACAGACCTTAGATCCACATCAGGATTGTGGAGCTCTGCTCTTTCACTAAATGCTGGTAACCTTTAGGGATGCAGAAGATAAGAGATCAGCTCAGGCCAAGGACTTCAGAGTCTCTTACATGGCAGAGTATAGTGTAGCAGAGAGTCAAACTAGCTCAAGAACTGGAAACCTTCTAACAACTATAGGATGTAGCTTTGAGTTGGCTAATTTACCTCATCACCATATGCTTTCAGTATCCAAACTAACTCTTTTAGAGCTAGGTCAAGTATCTCCATACTATACCACAGGCACAATCTTTTCAAGCAGAGCTGCCAGCTTCACAGCATGTTAACCTAACACTCCAGGAATGAAGTAGCTAATGTGTTCACAATAGGTAGAAGTCAGATTTGATGGACTCTCTCACAACCTGAAATTCTCTTTCCCTGACAGTGGTGGGCAAAGCTGGTCAGCTCACAGAGCACCCTGAACAGGCTCCCTGAAGTGTACCACTTACTACAGGTCTTTATAGCACCTTTCCCCTATAGAGTGAGGCAGGGAAAAATCCCCAAATGCTCCAAGCCACCAGTATAAGAGCTCTGTCCTCGTCTTCATAGAAACTGAATCCTCCTTGCTCATGCTTTGAAAGGCAAGAAATGTGCTCTCTCCAAAGCTTGCACTAATTTTTAGTTAACAAACCCAATCAACTGCCTCCGCTACTTCCCTTCTCCTCTCCCCCACAAAAATTGCACGTCCCAAAGACATAACTTTTCTCCACATAGGATTCAAGAAGGGGTAAAAAGAAACATGTTTGGTGTCTAGCCTGTCCCCAGTTTGCTGTCCCCAAGCCCTGCAAGAGGGAGATCCTTTATTTGTTCTTTACGGACAAGCGCAAACTAGTTATGTGAAAAGAATCACCAGCATACTGATCCTAACCCCAAAGAAAATATTCATGTCCTCATCTTCCTAAGGATATGCCCCAGATGACTAAAACTGGAGAGAAATGGTTCCCACAGTCCACACTGCTGCTGGGTTAGTCGCTGCTCCTCACTTGGACAAAGCCAACAGACTTATCAGTTTCACTTTTGTTTCTTCCCTTTAGTTTCTCAGAGTTTCAATTTCCACTAACTCCCAGTGGGACTATTCATAGTACGGACACCACAGCGGACAATTTAAATCCAGACTGAAAACCTCTCCCCAGGGCTTTTAAAAATTCTGAATGCATTACATATGCATTAGGTCGTTCAAAGATTTCCTTCCCCTCCCCGCAATCCTGACCTCTGGAGCTTGCACTATCTGGCAGCACCATGCACAGCTCAGAGTTTCCGATTACAGGCTCCATCTAGGCTTGCCATTATCTGGGCCTCAATTTTATCTGCTTCCTGGTTTTTTTTTATCTATTGTAACTGATGACCAGGTTGAGGAAACACCTCCTAGACCTCACTCTTCTCATGTACAGACAGACTTTTCTTTCAGCCAAGTTGAGCTCTGCCTCACAGAATGCTGCAGAGGTGCTGAATTCACTCAACTGATGAGCAGGCATATACCACTGCTTCAAGACAGCCAGAGGCCAGACTGCTCACCTGGGCAGGAGTGTTGTGAACTGCACCCAGGAGCTTTAAGGATCTGGTTGGATTAAGTGTCCACCATGCTCCCAGAGGTGCTCAGCGAGCTAAATGATCTTCAGAAACCACTAGAGACTTCCATAGCACAAGCAGAGGCTGCACGTGCTGCCTTAAACTGGGGAGAGGGTAAGAGATAAGAGACCCTACACATTTGGGAAACAAGACTCATCTGCCTATTCCTTCTGCTTCCACCTCCAACTTCACATCAACAAGACTCAGTGATGACTCCTTCAAACCCAAAGGAAGGGCCACCCTGCAGGAACAGATGGTCACTTTCCTGCACCCTCAAGGAGGGCCTTGCAGCCTTGGGACCTCCAGTTCCAGCTCTCTAATCAAGTTAGGGTGTTCTACAAAAGCGCTGGTAAGGACTGACACACCTGCTAAAATCATGGCAATTCGTTTGCTGCCATTTCAATTCCACTCCCTCAGTAAGAAGTTAGTTTTCTTTTAACTAGGACTGACTACAAAGAAAGCAACTGGAAGGGAAGACACGAGAGACCAGATATCAAAACAAAGAGATAAAATATGGGGATAGATTTAAAGTAGGTCCCTTTGAGGTCATGAAAGACCTAACCCAGAATCTGAAATCCAGATATCCCTACTGTCCAGGGGGAACAAAATTCACACTGGGAAGCCCAGTGCCCATTTATTACACCGTGCTTTAGTTTTAAGATGTCCATATGCTTTTGCAAAAGATTTTACTCACTAGGGATCTGAAAAAGGCCCAGTCATCCAATCAGAAATGTTCTGGGAAGGGGAGTTGTCCCTCCCCCATCAGGTCAGAGTACACATGCCCATACTTACCAGTATATAAAAAGTAGTGAAGATGGGACTGGAGGTGACACGGATTTTGGCCCTGGCAGAGGGCAGTTTCCAGAGAAGAAAGACAAAGAAGAGTACATTGGGAACCAGGAGCAGGAGGTCCCAGTACCGGACTCTGCAGAGAGAGAAGCAGGATTAACAGTTCAGTATTTGCAAAATCTCCCAATGCAGAGGCAGACACCAGTCCCTTAATCCTGAAAGGCCCTTGTCCCTGGATAATACCAGGCTCCAGCCCCAGCTCCCAACTCTCACCTGGATTTCCCAATGTCCTCATAAAGTAGAAGTAGGCACTTGTGCGGCACAGTGATGTTGGTATCATTGATTGACTGTGTGGTCACAGGGGACAGAGCCGTCACGTTAGTCGGCACTGTTACCAAAGCAGTGGAATGCGTGACGTTGTCATACGCAGAGAACCTCACCACCGACGTCACAGATGGGAACATCCTGTCTCCTTTCTGGCCACAGAGAAAAAAAAATGAAGGTTACATGCAGTGGGGGTTAAAGCCAAGCGTGATAAAACACAGGACGATTAAAACAGGAAAAAGCAACATCTGAGTCAGAGAAACAAAAAAGTACGTCTACAAAGTAGTCACAGCCTACTCATTACAGCAAATTATTATTGTCGCTAGCAGAAAGGCTGTATCGCATAACAGAGCAGAATGTCTCTTGTCCCTCCCCCAGAGCAGAAAAGACAGGAATCCCATCTTCAACTAGGATGACAGGAACCTTCCAGACACCGCTGACTAATCCAGATTAGATGAGGTGACTTGCAAGTCCTGCTCCACAGCTCCCTGATACTTAACAAGCTCTTGGGCCTGCAGGAAACTTTACTCTGTAGCTTCACTCATTGGCCCTTACCCAGTACCTGTTGCTAATGCCAGCCTCCCTAGTCTGTGCTAGGTGGCAAGTGGCATATATCTACTTAGATGGGACTCCATAGACTTTCTGCTTTCATAAAGCACCACTAGTATAATGACAATATCCTAGCTGCATCTTAGACCCTGCATTCTCTTCGAGTCCTTCCAAACCATGCCAACGGCTCTGATTTTAAAACCCATAACAGGGCTCCATCCCATTCTACAGCCTGTTGCATCTAGGGCTGCACAAACACTTTACCCCAATCAATAAACACAAGCCTTCACTGCTCCTGGGACATAAGCTAGCATCATTATTGCTAATCTGTAGAGGCAGAAGGTGAAGGAGAGTTATTCAGTAACTTCTGCAAGGTCACACTAGAAAACAGAGGGAAACCCAGTGGGAGCACCCAGGAGTCCTGGCTCACAGTTACTCCTTCCCTCCCCTGTGCCATGCCGCTTCCACAGCATTTTCAAAGAAGGCAAGATAACAACTTGCTCTCCACCCCCTGTTGAAACCTATCAGACCTGCCCTCCCTGAAAGCAGGTTCACTGGTACACCTTGCAGGCCTTGTGGCTGCTCCAGCTGGGATATCAGCTGTCAGCCCTAAAAGTGGGGAGGGGGGAGATGGCAAATTCTCCCACACAGCAAAGAAACCCCATTTACCTCCCATCCATGGGGCCGAACTGGTGGAAACCAGGGGAAAATTCTGCTTTGGGACCGCTGGTAAGAGACCCACCACACCCCAAGCTTGCCAGTGCTCCAGGGCACTATACTCACAGACGCAAGGCCCCATCATCGGCTCCCAGCTGGACTCATGGCCCCAGGCAACTCCCTCCTCTGCGCTGGAGTTTCTTCTCCTGTAAAAGAAGGAACCACCGTGCTAGTAACATGTCTTATGATCCCCAGATACCAGGCACCATAATGTCGTGAAGTACTGCTCCCTCCAGGATTCCCCTCCCCTGGGTGGAGCTGCCACAAAACACACTGGGATTTTTTTTTTTTTTTTTTTAAAAAGAGCCACCACCTGCTGTCATCACAAGGACGCAGGTCCTTGGGGGATTTAGAGTGCCCTGGCTGCCCAATCCCTGTAGCTAATCCAGGATTAAATCTCAACAAAATTCCCCCTCATTTGAACAACAACCAGCATTGCGGATGCTGCAGCCTGCATGAGAGAGGCAAGCAAGAAAGTCTTCATGCTTCTTGCTGACTGCTGAAGCCTATGGCTAGACATGGTCCCAGCTACGGGAAGCAGAGGACCAGCTCTGTGGCACCTGCTTTGGAGCTCAGGTTTTGTCCTCCCCAGGGGCAGCCAGCTCAACACCACCCCGTTCTTCTCCGAAGCTGGGACCGTTGCCAGGCCCTGGGAGGGGACATGAGTTGGGGAAGCTTCCTGCTAACCTAGCTGCTTCTGATCCCTCCATTGCAACAGGTCCTCTGTGAGCTGGCATTTTCTTTAAGGCCATGGTAGGTCAAACTGCATTAGAGACGTCATTTTAAACAAACACAGCACTGGGACGATCGGCGTTGTGCTGAGGTGGCAGCTTCTCCGCTAGAAAGCCCAGCTCTGGCAAAGGTCCCAGCCACTGACCTTCACATTGGGGAGCTCCTGTCTCCTCCCCTAAAGAGGTATGTTATGCTCCTCCCTTCAGCCTCCCCAGTTCTTAAGCACCAAATCCCTGCATGACTGAGAAAGACATTTCTCTCTAGTGACTTACCTATGTCTTGCTACTCCGAGATCTCTCAGAAGCCTCCTGACTCTGAGGGTATAAATAGATGTGGCCAAATGAAGTGGGTCATCTGTGCCAGGACGTGCCCCAGCACAGCTGATCCACTTCATCGGGAAAACCATGCGTCCCCCGTTGTCCTGCAGGATCAATGGGTAATGTGTTCCCTACCCGCAGAGACACGCCGCAGGGAACTGGTGGTCCCAGCCCCAGGATTGCACAGGGTAGAATTCAACCTCAGAAAGCTCATGTGCATCTGGGGAATCCCAGACGGGGAAAGCCAGGCAAGCACTCCCAGGATAGCTGGAGAGCACTCTCCTACCTTAAAGCAAACAGACACCCGTCACAAAACAGCGGCACAAATTAATACCACCTATGTCACAACCACAAATTTGGGGCATTTGTGGAGTGATAAAGGCATGGACATCTGCTTGCTTGACTTCTGTACCCCCATAAAAATGTTTATGGTGGCACAAAGGTGTCTATTTCCAGCCTGAGAAAGGCTCCAGAAAAGGAGGGTGGGTGGATATGACTACACTCAACTTATGCCTAACTTTTTAACAGGGTGGGAAGAGGAGGAAAGAGAAACTCAGGAAGCATAGAGAAAGGAGGGGAAACCGAGAGCCAACAACCCTGCAATGCTCTGCTCTCTGCTGCTTCATTCACTCTACCACTGACTTATGTGGCCAGCATAATTTCAGCTCTGCTCCCCAAACTACTGAGGGAAAGTTATTTTCCTCCTTTGCAACAACTGTGCTTAGACACTCCCCAGTGTGGTTGATGCCGTTTCCGAGATAAGAACTGCTCTCACCACTCTGCTAACAAGACCACTTTTCAACACAGTTGTTACCACAGAGCCTTTAATGGTGAAAACAAGGCCATTTTTGTAAACAGTATTTTCCAGAATTCACCCTGCCTTTTTTGCTTAATTGCTACATGCTCCTTTCACTCCACAACCAGCTCGTGAGATGGGGATTTTCCATCCAGTGACAAAGGCCATTTCCCCATCCCCTCCTACTTTCAATATCACATCCATTTTTTTCCCCCAGAAAAGCTAAAAAAAGACTTTCCCATGACCTAAGAAAAATCAAGCCAAAGTAGCTGCCTGAAGAGTAACCCCAGCCCACAGCAACAACTGGGGAAGAAATCTCCTTGCCTGTATCCTCCCTCAGCTTGGGGGATGCCTTCATGCACAGGAGATGGGAAGAAGGCAATGCTCTCATGATAGGACCCACAGCAAAGCAGCCTGCATTTCACAGGGTTGAGATGTCCCACAGTGGAGGGGGGAAGCAGGATGGCCACCGCCTTCAAGCACCTAAAGGACTTGGATGTAGGAACAAATCAGCTGTAGCCTGGCCCCTTTATGCTACGTAAAGGGGCCAGAGCACAGTCGAGGCCTGAGTGCCAGCTATCAGAGCATTTCCTCAGGGCACGCAGTACAGGAGACAGGCACAAGGCTGCCTCGAAGGGCCACCCATCTCCAACCCTTGGCATACAACAGCCACAAGACACAGCGCTGCAATGATCCCAGGTGCCAGCAGTAACTCAGGCCCCCAGAGCTGCCTGCTACACTTGTCAGCTTGGAGTAACAAAGCCCTGTCCGTCCGTCCCCCCGAACAATACAACGCCTCGTCAGGGCATCAGTTCCCCCACCTGTGAAACAGAGTGAGGACTGGTGAGGCTAATTTCATTTCAGCCTGTAATATATGCCAGGATCTTCAGAAGAGAGAAACAGGAGAAGTGCAAGGTACTGTTACCTGCCCTCAGGAATGGAAGTCCCCGAGCTCTGCCATTTGAGCTCATCTGATTTACTACAGTAGCAGGCCTGTTTCTGAACACCTCTAGTTCTTGCCTTTTCTAAGGTAAGGGTTAACAACAGAAGCACTGTGCTCTCACACGCAAGTGTTACCATAGCCATCTGTTTCAGCAACATCTCCTTCCCAGATTTAATACCCTTATTGTACACATATTTTTGCTCCACCTTAGCTACGAGCAATTTTCAGTTGATAGCATGCTTGCAGAATGCATGCAGTTTAGCTTCAGCTAGCCAGGAATACCTGGAGCGTAAGCACATTAGGAATGGCACTCTTGAATGACAACATTGAGTACCACAATAAAAAGCCTCATTAAGAAAAATGGCATGCGAACCCTTGACTGATTTCAAGACCAACATGTTGCTTGCCTTCAGAAAAAAAAAAAAATCACCTAAAATAGATCTCCCACAGAACCATTTGAAAAACAAATCTCAGCTTCATCCTTGTGCCCACACGGAGCCCCTGTGTAACATTAAGATATTACTATTTAATAAGAATGTGGGTCCAGTGTTTAAATGCAGAAACTTCAGATTAGATACTTAGCTCTATACTTAGGTACCTACATATGCAAACTAACTGAGACACTGAGCAGCTACAGCTCCCCCCAAGAAAGTCTGAAGACCCCTTTGAAACGTCTATGTAGACATCTAACATAAGGCACCCACATTCAGAACTGCTGATCTTAAAAAAAAGAAGCAGCATACTCCAAATGAAAAGTTCAGCTGAAAGCCTGCAAGAGATCACAAGATCTAGTTCATGGTCAACGACTCAGCCATAACAACAGCTTGATTTGTGAATATTGGGCTAGGCCACTGTTTTATAAATAGAGATAGAAGGCAGGGTAAACGTGCACCTTACAGATTAACCAGAAGTAGTATGTGTGTACACACACAAGAAGCTTTATCGGCTGAAGTTCACAACTCACAAAATCTGGTGCCACACGCACACACTTTGATTAATCTATAAGGTGCAAATCTACCCTCCTTTCTGCTTGACTTCAGACTAAGGAGCCTAGCCATGTCTCTCCTTTTCAGGTACAGATTCCACGATAAGGAATGTCTACCATGCTTCTCCCTCCTCACACGCTAATGCTGCATGCCAGCTAGCAAGGATCTCTAAAGTAACAGTCTTTGCATGTACCAATGCAGCGTCCTCAAAACAGTGATGCGCAAATATTCACAAGCAATGTGGCCACAACCCACGCACTGTTGAGTGAGCTATGAGCATGTCCTGAACTGGGACAAGCCACTATGGCCTACCTGCTGCCCAGGGCATTGGTTGCGTTGCCAACAGAAAAGACTCGCCTCTCCTGAAACAAGTTCACAGGCAGTTTTTCAAGGCTTCTAGGCACACGGCTGAGATCTCTCCAGTGGTAGGGACCATGCTGGGCACAAATGCTGTGCTGCTACGTGCTCCTTGCAGGTTAAGTCAAAAGGAAAGCTTGCCTATGTCTACCCCAACCATTAGGGCCCAATAAAAGAGACAGACAAAGGTAGTCTTGTTAATCTGAAGTCAAGGAGAAGGCAGAGTAGGTTTACACCTTATAGACCAATGGTTCTCAATCTTTTTTAGACTCAAGGAGCCCTGGAGAAAGTGCCAGCTCATAGCTTTTACTTGTGTTTTGACGACAGAAACACAAAAGAGCAATTCTTCTGGTGCATAGACTTGATAAAGACCCCAACAAGTCTGAATGTTTTTAATATTTGTGGATTCCTGTTGAAATCTCTAGGTTATCTTGAGAATCACGTCTGCCCACCTAAGAGCGCTGACAGTGTGGCACCCCATGGCACCTATGACAGGATCTCAGGGGACCCTAGCCTGCTGCAGCACCCTGGCAGAGAACCACGGGTACAAGCTCACCAAAGCACATCCTTTTACACCATCTGATGGAGTGAGCTTGGACTCAGGAAATCTTGTGCTAGACATACATACATGTTTAGATATATTACACACACATCTATATATAGTCAGGTATCCAGGTTGTAGCTGTATTGGTCTAGAGGAAAAAGCAATCAAGACTCGTAGCGGAGATGATATCTTGTATTAGAACAACAAGGCTCTTGAACAAAAATGCTTTAATTGCAATTAAAGATTTTTTTTTGCAAAAATCTTGTTGCTCTAATACAAGATATCATCTCCATTACGAGTCCTGATGTCTATATATATATGCACATGCACTATACACACACACATATTCTATACGCACATGTGCATTTCTATCTACACACACACATATACATACGTACATACACACATTATGTACACATATCTATATACACATGCATACATGTCTATACACACATTACACACACATGCACCCATAAACACGTGCCCATATAGATACACGCACACAGCCCTATTATAGATACACATGCCCATATAGATACACGCACACACATGCCCATATAGATACACGCACACAACTATTACAGATGCACACACACCCATACACACACTGATTATAGATACACACGCACCCATATAAACGTGTGTATTATATACACACAAATATACGCACATTATGTACATGTATCTATACATACATACATACATACATACATGTCTATAGATACCCACACTATCATATACACATGCACCCATATACACACGTATGCTCCCATATAGATACACACACCATATGGATACACACGCACCCACACACATGCCCATACAGATACATGCACACACCTATTATAGATGCACACGCACCCATATAAACATGCACACCTAGATACACACACGGGTGCCCCCACACACACACCCATATAGATATGACCACGCACACGCCTAAACACAGAGAGATGCGCACCCCCGATCACGCGTCCTTACACACACATTACACGCGTCTATAGATGAACACACACATCCTAGTCCCAAATCCCAATTTATTAAAACAAGAGATCTTGTTTAATTTAGTTCCTTATTTCTTTTTAAATTCTTTTTTTTTATTTACTTCTTTTTATTTTCTCCTTCAGTGGCTGACTTCCTTCATTTCACCACCCTTCTCCCAGCCACTCCCATT